TCTGCACCACGAAATCCGCGAAAAGGGTGGTGCCTACGGTGGAGGCGCTTACTCGCGTTCTTTAGGGGGCATGTTTGGCATGTACAGTTACCGTGACCCCAACCCACAAAACACAATGAAAATTATGGCCGAGGCCGGACAATGGGCACGTGACCGCGTCTGGACGGCGCAAGACCTTGAGGAAGCCAAACTCAGTGTCTTCCAAGGCTACGATGCGCCGCAAAGCGTAAGTCAAGAGGGCATGCGGCTGTTCCTGTCCGGAATTACAGACGACATGCTCCAAACAAGAAGGGAGCGCTTGTTGGATGTCACGACCGAGCAAATTCAGCGCGTCGCAGACGAATTCCTTGTAAGACGAGCGTCTGAAAGTAGCATTGCTATCCTAGGCGAAAAGAAAGACTGGGCCACGGAGAAGACTGGCTGGGACATACAAGACTTACACATGGCGGAGAAAATGGAAGAGCTCGCGCAGCAAACACCTGATGAGACCGTCGCCGCGCTATAGACTTCCGGCGTGCACAACGGTCGCATACACAGAAGTGTAAGAAGACGTGTACACCATCTGTATATTACTCAACTCATGCATCATTGTTGCTGGCAATGAATGCAAAATCGGTAAGTGTAGGAATATGATTGATTTTGCGTCTTTCCCCTTTCTTTCCTTACGACTTTCAAACCGCAGCTCCACTCGGACTTCAATCTCTACTAAAGCTCGTGTCCACACTCTGCATCCCATTTTCACAGGAAACCACCCCGATCGACTCAAACTGTGGGGAAACAGCGTACCGCCCCATCTGTCGCACTTCCTTCGTCCCAAAGCGCAGTCGAACAGATTCGCAGACGTGTCATTGCCTTTTCCATGGCTGGTGCGGTCTGGCGCTCCATGGGGGCAAATAATGCGCTAGATCAATGCCCTCTTCTAACCCCACGTTATTGCGTGTGGGTAGACAGAGGTAGGGCGGCAACCAATTTCAGAACTGCTAGGGGTGAGGCTAGTCCCCTGGCGGACTAAATTTGGGGGTACAGTTACTTCTCTGGGGGTTGTGACTACGGCCGGTAGAAGTAGTGAGCGAGCTGGTGCTAGTGCGCCTTCTGAATCTCTGCCTCGCTCCAAGGCCTCGATGTGGCTGTCGGAAAGTATGCAAACGTGGCTTAGCGCTTGTAGGGACATACACCATAATATGGTGCTATCATGATGTGTTCCATCCGAACCTAAGAAGTAGTGAAAACTACGACAGGTCTTTTGGTGCTGGCTCGAGGATTGTCAGAGGCGCCTTCGTTGGTAACACACATACGGAAGGTTCGTCTGGAACCCACGAGGGATTGGCTCGTCGCCCTGCTCGCACTGCATTATGTGCTCGGAAGCGACCTACGAATGCTACGCGCGAGGTATATCGAACGAGGTTCAGGGACACTACATACGAGAGAGATAAAAACTCCGAATACAATTAGTACCCTGAGGCTCTCCAGGATATTAATAGGCACTAATATCTTTGCTTCGTACCATTTTGCATTCAGCGCACTGGCGGCGATGGGCTTATTCCTTCTGGTCTCAACGAAGTTGAAAACCGTAGTCCAGTCCTCAGTAGTTGAATTGTAGGCTGCGCAAGATAGATATTTTTTATGGTTCTGCCAGAACAACCATATCGAGTGAAATACCCGCGGACCGGAGACACGCCACCTAGATGTAGACGTAGAGCTAATGCGTGAGGTTGGTAGCCGTGGTTGGGGACTCCTGGTAGTGCCTGTCGAAGTTGTGCGAGTTGAGGTGTACCGGCGGGAATCTTGGTTCTAGAGTGTTGAAGTGAAGACTTGGGGCTGGGTCGAATGCCACTGGACGCACGACCTCTTCGAGTGCTCCTGGCCGCTGGGCGTGTATCAGTCACCCTGCTTTTACACAGGCAAACAACAATGGACTTATTGAACTTGCAGCACCACGACCTTCCTCGGTCCAGGCATTAGCTACGGGCCCACGTACCACCGCCTAAAGAAGCACGCGGAGCCCAAGTGGAACAAGTCATCGAATACGGCAGGCCGGGGGTTCTTGTGTGGGCATCTGCTCGCGTGGCCAGTGCCTATCATGCTTGTCATTGTGCAGTTGGAATAGGGGAGAAATCGATGTGGGATCCGAGACTGAGCGGATGATGACATCCTCAAGGTGGTGTTCTGCACGCCATGTGCGCTGAAACAGACGCAAAAAGAGGTTGTGGCGAGAGAGCAAGGCCGGAAGAGGCGACAATACGAGGGGCACGAGGGGAAGATGGTGATGGTACCAGAAAACCAAGCAGGGGAACGGTCTGCGGCGGAGACAGGCGTGAGCACGACGTATTCTCCACGCGGTGAATATAGCCGCAAGTAGTCGCGAGGCGGACGAAGGTGGCTCATGATGGAAGCAAGGGGGAGTATGTAGCGGCTGGCGTTCCGAGACACCCCTAGATTGTACGACCTTTCATTGCTAACAGGATATCTTATAAACGCTACGTCGCCAATCCGTGTACAGAAGAAACAAGAAAAAAGTGGTTCTCCTCCTCTATGCTGCACGATGTCCAGGGTTGTGTCCCGGGCCCTGCACACCGCTCATGGGAATGTACCCGTTCCCTTTGACCTCTTCAAACTTAATCTTTTCCACCAGCTTGTTCGTCATGCGCTCGCACCACGGGTCCACGTATTGCGTCCACGCATACGCCGAGCCGTACAAGATGGGAATCCAGAATAACAGGCACACAAACAGCGTCTGGTGGCCTGGATACTTCATGCGCGTCATCTGCGGTTGGCCGTTGTCATCCTTGTGATCGGCTGGCACGCTGATGCCATACACCATCCATGAAAGAATCGTCTTCATCAGCGTTCCGTGCAAGAGGTATACGGCAAACCCCATCTTCCCGAAAAACAGCAGAATCTTACTGGACAGGATTTCCTGCAGGCGCGGGCTGAGCACGATGCCGACGGCGGCGAGCATGAGGCCGATACCGCTGGAGAAGCGAGGGAGGTCTGGGTTCTCCGGGAGGTTGGGCTTCAGAAAGTGGGTGAGGTTGTCGGACCAGGGCATCCACTCGGCGTGGGACTCGGGGTACGAGGCGACGTAGAAGCCGGAGAAAACAAGAACAGCGGAGAGCACGGGCGCGAGGATGCGCTGCTGGTCGATGAAGCGGGCGGTCGCGGGCTCGAACTGGAGCTCGGCGATGAGCACGCCCCAGAAGCCTAACATACCGAAGACGGCTGAGCAGGTTAGCTGGGACCCAAACGTGTAGAGCGGGTGGACTCACGGTCGTTGCCCATCCAGTAGTAGGCGAACATGGCAAAGCTTGCCAGCATGCGGTAGCGAGGCCTGATGTAGGCCACGGCGAGTAGGAAGGCGTAGATCTTGATGCTCTCCTGCAGGAGCGGCAGCATGGTCCACTGGTTGCGATCGTACTCATTGTTCCGCTTGATCCAGATGGCGCCGATCTCGTAGACCAGGTTGCCCACGGCGGGGAACAGGCTGCCCTTGCGCGGGGGGATCTGGCTGATCCAGCCCGAGTCGGCGTGCTCTGCCACGGAGAACAGGCCCAGCTCGCATATCAGGAAGGAGAGGACGGTGGCAGCGGCCGAGGGAAGGAACAGGCGCGGGAAGCGGCGCAGGGCCGACTTGGAGATGGAGATGAAGGCGGCCTCGTGCTTGTCCTGGCGGTAGAGCTTGAGAGGTTTGAGGGCGCAGACGTAGCCGGTGACGAGGGCGAAGATGGACACGCCGAGGCGGCCCTGGATGAGGACGCGCAGGAAGGGCAGCTGCAGAACCTTTGGGGTGGTGTTCTCGGCGGTGGTGGCCCAGAAGAGATTGCCGGCCCAGGCGCGCGAGATGTGGGTGAGGACGACGAGGGCAGATGCGAAGCCTCGGAGGCCCTGGCGGCGTCAGCGAAGCGGCGGCGATGGGGGGATGGGTGCCACTGGACACTGGACACTGGACACTGGCACAGCGCGGGGCGGCGCGGGAGCAACTTACATCCACCCACTTCACGTTACCCTCCTTTCCAATGGCCATGGCAGGTCGCTCGGGATCATAGGGGAGTCGGGGAGTCGTGGAGTCGTGGAGTCAGGCGAGAGAAAGCGCACGGCGACGAAGACGCGGAGCGGGTGCGGGCGCAACGGGGTAGTAGCTGGCGAAGATTAGCATGGCTTGCCGCACTGCCGTCTTGTCATTGCCATCCGTCGCAAGGCTCGCATCCTCGCAGAAGGCGGCTAGGAGGTTACGTACGCCGGTGCACGGCCATGGTGGCACGGGTAGGGCGGCGACGCGGGCGCAACAGCAACAGTCCGCTTCGCTGCGCCAAGAAGAGCCACGGCCCCAGCGTGCTGCTTCGGGCACGACGCGCAAGGCATGCTCAGGGCTGGAGGCGCGTCGACGGGCTGCCATTCGGCCTTCGGCCATGCGACGCGGCTTGGCGCTCATCACCAGGGGCGGAACCCAGGCGGCCTGCACCGGCGAAAAGAATAGGAGGCGGCCTGGAACCGTGGGCCGACCTCGCCCGCCAAGCCCTCCGCAGAGCCTCAGTGGCGTCGAGAGCCAGCGTCGCACCAGCCGGGCCGAAGCTGAGCAACCACTCGAAAAGCCAGCTGTCACCAAGTACATCGGTACCACGGTACGAAGCTAGCATCTGAAACGTGCATCTGGTCATAGGCCGGGGGCGCCAAGGTGTAAGCTGGTTGCATGCATGTCAGATGAGATGCTCACGTCATAACGCAAAGCCACTCGCCACAAGGTGTGGCAGGAATAATAAAAAGAGGGAGGCAATGGAGAGAAGAAAAGGAAATCCTGGCTTTCTCTCTAACGTAATGCTGATTCGTTGATGAGAGGAAATTCGTCACTCTTAGTTGGCTTTTTTGAATGATTGCTGAATTCTTGTAGCTACTGCGTTTTGCCGCGGCTTGCAAAGCACGCGAAGTGTTATATTTGTTTGATATTGCTGATTCGACAACCAGGCATTTCAAAACTAGGGTCCACAAATGTGCAAAAACTAATTTGACCCACACCTGATTCGAACAGGTAACCTTCAGGACATTCCAAGATATCTGGAATCTGACGCGCTACCGTTGCGCCAGCGGGCCACATTTGATGTACATCAGATTGATTTCATCCAATCGAATTGAAGTGCTTCCTGTCGAAAAATATGTATACCAATATATCCCGTCCCAATCATACTGAGATACGTCTAACCTTTCCAAGTCGAGGACATCTGTGTGCTGTGTGCCAGTCGTGTAGTTATGGCTCGGTAGGCTAGCGTGACAGAGCACTTTGCGCTAAGGTGGTTCGCCCAAAACAATTACAGAAACTCGCACCCAAGGCCGTTTGCTCACATCCTTGAAGGCTTTCCTAAATTCATGTATGAGTCGAGTGCATGGCATGTGGATTCTTGAACATTTCAAAGTTTCGCCCATCGCTCCTGTTTTCAGAACTTTATCAATGCAAGGAAAAAGACATTGGTGATGCCACGCTTTATTTCCTACTGGCCCACCACCTCCCCCTTCTAGAACGGAATCCCGTTTGTGACCAACTGGAACTGATCGTACACACCAGTACTTTTGCTGCTCGCACTCCGCCGAATTAGCTCACGCATGTAGTCCGCTGCCTCTCTTTCACTCTTCTCTAGCACAAACCGCTCACGGAAATGCTGTATCGTTTGCGGAACAAAGCATGGTAAACCGCTATCCAACATCACCTCAACAATCTGACATAGGTGGTCGCAGTGCTGCCTGCTTGCTAAAAAGGCCTTGATGGTGAGCTCCTCGAACCAACGGAACGACTGCGATGTCTGGCTGCCGCCCATGACCGCGATCATCTCGCCGGTTAGTTTAAAGGGCGCACGCTCAAACTTGACGCCGCCGGGCGCGATGTCGAAGCAGAAGCCGAAGTCAATGTGGATGATGTGGCCTGCATCGTCGATCATGATGTTGCCATTGTGGCGATCTTTGAACTGCAGCAAGAAGGAGATGACGCTGTAGGCAGCCATACTCTTTACGAAGTTACTGCGCGCCTCCTGGTAGCGGATCGAGTCTTCGTTGCCATATTTACTGACAAAGTAGTCGTCAAGACGATTGACGGCTTCCCGACCGAGCATATCGCGTGAGATGGAGTTGGGAAGCACGTCGATTACTCCACAGCCGGGCGCTGTGGCAGTGACACGATATGGAAAGACCCAGACGTCAAGACCGATATTGTTGAAGATACCACGAAACGCAGCGATCATCTGCAGGGCTAGAACATCTTGTCTACAGTCGTCACCGACCTTGAAGATTGCTGACTGCCAGACCTCGTAGGAGTTTTGCTTGGCCGATGAGGCGCTGCTAGCAAGCCCTTCTGCGGTGTTTTCTTCCAACACATCTGTCTTGGTCTTGCGAATCCGGAAGGTAGCCATAAATGGTGTCTTTGCATGGGACTGCAGGGGCTTGCCGGATGTGCGGTCAATGCCAACCACAACACCGTCAGGGTTACTCGGCAGATATACACCAACGTCGACCTGTATCTTGCGTAGCTCTTCCTCAATCATTTGCTTCTTCTCTTCCTTCGGTCTGTCCAAAATTGTGCGCAGTGTGCCAGAAATACCAGTGACCTTGCCAAAAAATTCGAACTCCCGCTCATAAAACTCTCGATCAATGTCGCTAAAGCTGGATTCTAAACTTGCCATGACTTCGTCGAAGGTAGGTTTCGCGGGATCGGGCTTATTTTCAAGTCAGCTCGAGCCATACAGATTATAGTATACAGTGTGAACATACCACTTGAGACTGTTCATCTTTATATGCATTCGCCTTGATGTTCCATATGATTTGGTGAGCGAATAGCTGTGAAAACTTCGCCGTCTCGATGATATATCTTTCGACATAGCCTAGAACATCATAACGAAGTGTTTGTACGATTTGTGAGACGTAAAAAAATGTGACATCGACGGAATGGCTTTCCAATGCCCTCATCGCATATTGAATGATGAAAGGATGATTGCCGTACGCCGGAAGGAAATATGTGACTGCGCTGATAGGATTCAAGGCTGCCCAGTACATGAGGTACTGGAAGTCGTGAGCTTAGTCAAATCATACCGAGACTAATTACATACCTTGAGTTGGAAGGTGACATCGTTTGGTAGTTGATTGCCCAGTAAGATCTCGATAGCATCGGGCTCGCCGAGAACTCGCTGAGGGAAATTGAGAACTTGGAATCGCACTTCGGTGTTCAGGCGCTGATTCTGGAACCGTTTGGGAAGATGTACAGCAATGGAAGGATTCTCGTCCCACGCTGTTTTGAGGTGTGCTGTGACTGCAGCCTAGCACATGGTGAGAGGAATTCATCTTGGTGCAAACATGGGCTTACATCTGCTAGTGTTTTGCTGTGTTGGCCAGAAGTGAAGTGGTGCTTCTTGCCGTAATCGAGCGGGAACAGCCACACCATCAAACGAATCTGCTCATTAGAAATTAGAAGTGACAGCAGATCTTGCTTGGCCTTCAAAGATCTCATGGAACCTTCGGTAATGGTGCCTGTTTTCCCAACAACTTCTAGGTAGGCTTGAACATCCGCCAGAACGTGTGTCTCAGCTTTGATCTGAAGGCGATTTCCGCCGAACGACCACCTACTTTGTTAGCGGATAAAATCGAGAGGTATTTTGGAGTCTTACTCGGGTGCCTTCGCAAACCATGCCAACCCTGCGCTCAAAATGCGGTCTTTTAAACGCCATTTGATAGCAGAGGAGAGAGTCGTACAGTGGCGTACAATGCGTAAACCTAGAAGGACCACGTGAAAGTATGCTTCTCTCGCAAGCGGCTGGGCACACCCCGAGCTGAGCGCGTCGAGGGTAACATGCATCAGTCTGCTGTAGACTAGCTCTATGTCGGGATTCCCAAGACGTGCAGCATTAAAATGACTAGAGAGGAACTGCAGAAGCCGGTAGTGAGGGGCAATGACGTTATATATGTGTTGCTGTCGTTTCGCAAGATACGGCTTATCTGTTGGAGCAAATTCCTGCTTACCGTAGAAAGGGTCGGGATGCCTGAAACGCGTGAGCACGATAACCCAGTGGAAATATGGGATGCACAAACTTTAACGAGCGACTGAAAATGCCCTTTTGCTGAATGATGGTGTGCTCCCAACCTTCGGCGATAGAGACGAGAATCCGGGACTCCATTCGAGGGTTTTCTTTGATTACACTCATCCACAGGGATATACCGAGCTTTATCGATTGCTTGGTGAACACGGCAAAGGGGATGCCAACTAGATGATGCACAATGGGGGCTTGGTCCGACTTGACGCGACAGAGGAGTGCAGAGGCTCGTCGTAGGATATCTCGAAGGTCAGCGATGGTGACGTGTTTGTTGTTCAATGTCCGGCTTTCGAGGTCAATGAGTAGGTTGGTGGCATCGTCAATTCTACGGCGGAAGGCAGACTGCGCGTGTCCAGATCCATCGAGTTTCAGCCATTCATCATCCTGCTCGTTTTGACCGTCGACGAATTTATACTCCTGCCGTGTAGTGTATTGCGCAACGAAGTCTGATGCAGTGTTGATGTTCATGCCTTGTCGCTCGATAGCACCTAAACGTTGGTCGGTGGTCGGTATCACTGAACCCATCTCCAACGCAAATGAGCGACCAAGCGAGATGTGGCCATAAGCGCCTTCGTCGTCGTACTCGGACAGGTAGGTCTGAAGCAGACCTTTAATGTCGAGTGGAGCAATGTCCAGGACTCCTTTGACCCATGCCACAGCCCGCTTATGAAGGCTGTTTAGGGTCTCTCTTCGAAAGTTGTAGTCATCTGAAAGCTCTACAACAATGTTGGATTTCTCTGACGTAAATGTCGACGTCCATCCGTACTCATCGGTCTCGCCTTCCAAGCAGCTAGACCACATGATCGATAGAAGTTCTAAAAGGGCAAACAAGGCGTTCTTCTGACAAAGTGTGGAAGGTACATCTCGAACGATGATATCTGCGCACGTGAAAGCTGCCTGTTGGACTCTGGCAATTCGATGACAGCACCCTGCGAAGATAATCGAAAGTTGCTGTGCCAAATATGGAGTTGAGAATGAGTGCAACTTGCCGGACAGCGTCTTCGTTACGTACGTTCGGGTAGTAGCGACTGCAATAGCGAGCATACAGTTTCCTACACCTCCGCTGCGCAGTTTTGGGTCGAGGAAATACGCGAGCGCCTTTGTGCAGTCACCGGCACTTGCTCGCAGATCTTCGACTAGATAGGCAGCGTTCAAAAAAACAGCTTCCGAGTAACTCAAAGATTTGATGTCTGCCTCGCATGCGGGCAACAACTTTGTGAGACGTCTTTTCTGCTCAACGATATGTTCGGGAGATTTGCCTCGTCGCAAGACCGTATTCAACTCTACGTCACTTTCAGCGAGAGAAGCGCGTTCCTCCGTAATCAGTGGTCGACTGAAGCGTGCTAGCGTTCTCAGCTCAGCTACGTGTTCTTGAGTCAAACTGGAGGAAAGATCGAAACCATGGATAACGATGTTGAACCAAGCGTCTCTCTGTAGACCGAGAATATGTTCGTCCAGTTGTGACGGGTCCGTAAGTCCAGCTTTTCGGGAGAGCAGCAGAGCCAAAGGCGGAAGCAGTTGAGCAATCTCCTGCGCGGCCAACTCTGTATCTCGGACCTGATGGTGATGTGTTTCTGGCGAGTCACCTTTGCTTATTATAGTATCGAGCAAGTGCGTGAGATACAACTCGAAACCATCCGACTCTGTGTCAATTTCTCGAGATAGGTGAAGTCGCGCGTGTTTAATCTGGATGGTCTTAGCAAAGCATACACGGTTTTGAGTACATGAACTTACCGCTTCGAGAGTAAAGCGATCGTCTTTGAGTAGAGCATCATGACACAGTTTGGAGTACAACTTGAGCAATGACCGAAACTCTCCAGGACCGCTATGAATTCCAAGGAGCGCAGAGTCGGTGACGATTTTGGCATCCACTACCTTGCTAATCCATCCCACCTTTTGAACAAGCATGGACAGCGCTAGCGCTGTAATCTTTTCGTCTTTGCTTTGTCTTGCTACAGATACGATCGTTTCTATCACGGTGGTATGTACGTGGTTCGGCGCCTCAACGTCACTCGGTGTCAA